CCTGCCCACCTATCTTCTTTACAAACCTACCATCCAGGGTAAAGATCTTAATCAGTTTGTTATATGTATCAGCAACAATAACGTTACCAGAACCATCTAAGGATAAACCCCAAGGATGAAGGAGCTGACTATCAAGGCCTCCTTGGCTGCCAAATGAACCCAGGTGCCTCCCCTCCCAAGTAAAGATCTGTACTCTATGGTTAATATGCTCTGATACGAAAATATTTCTATCCGTATCAGTGGCTATTCCTGTAGGATTCTCAAACTGTCCAGCATTTTTGCCTCTATGACCAAAGGATCTTAAGAAAGTACCATTACTGTCAAACACTTGAACTCGATGGTTCTGGTTGTCAGCTACTAATATTTCATCTTTAGCAGTCACAGCCACCCCCATAGGATTATTGAACATTCCTTCACCCGAGCCTTTCTTTCCAAAAGATAAAACAGGTTTGACTTGAAATGGTTTTACAATCACAGCAAAAGGACTACCATGAATATGTTCCCCGTTTACCTTAACAAATAACTTTATTGTCCTTTGAACTCTGGGAAAATAACTGATGTCGTAGATTCCATCCTTGTTATCATCTATTCTTACTTCTGTCACGCATTCTCCTTCTTGTTCGTCCGTGATCTCTACCGTTACACGGTCCCCTTGATCGTACCCCTGCTTTCTCTCTGCGTTTCTTGTGATCAAATTGAATTGAGCTTTACGTCCAACAGTCCCTTCTTTCAGTCCTTCACCTTCAGCCAGAGATTCGCTTGATTTTGTTCGGTAACCTTCTTCCAAGAATCCAATTTTTTCGCCGTTGACGACATCAAGTATCTTCTGATTTTCTACGAAAACAAACGCTTTCAGACTGCTGCGGTCATGAACAATAGCCTCTGTCTCATCCACTCTCTGAAAGATTATTTGCAGTGTTTTTTTAAGCTGAACAACTTCAACGGTGGTGCTTCGTTTTAGAAGTTTATCAGCTTCTTCCAATGATGATTCAATAACATTTATCTGATGCTGAATCTCACCTCTTTTTGCTGTTAATCTTTCAAGTGACTTCTTCGTTTTGTTTTCCATCGCGTCAATAACATATTCCATTTTTGCTTGAATTGTTTTTATCAACCCATCAGAAAACCTTGGGACATCGCCCTTCAAATTTTCGTTCTGTTGAATCACTTTAGCATAATCTTCATCTAGCTTAGCGACAACGTTCATTTTTTCGTCTAAGTTGTGTCGTTGTGTTTCGATAACAGTTTTTACCTGAAGTCTTTGATTCTCAGCTTCCTCCTCGATCAGCGTCAACTTATGACCATTGTGATCGAGCATTACGCAAGTTTGGCAAACTGCTTTTTCACATTCCTTGCAAAATAATTTTAGCTCCTCTTTCCGGTGTCCTTGTCTTGAACAAAATACTGGTCGCTTTAACACATCTTGATAGTCCCTGTCTTTGAACTCTTTTACGGCCAAAACGCGGTGTTCCTTCTTGTCTCGCATTATGTTATGACCGATTAAGCATTCTTCACAAAAAAATATGCAACACTGGAAACAATACGATGCTACCGAAGTCTTCTGGTCGCAGTTTCCGCATTTGAATTGAGTCTTGCTGCATTCTTTAATGGCAAGAACATCGATTAAGCCATTAAGATAAAAGCTGGTTGGAAGATCTTTAAGATCACCGCTTGCGGGAACTTGACTGAAGGTTTCGCACTTCGGACATCTAATGGCTTCTCCGCCCCCGCACGTTTCGTACCATCCTTTCAAACACTTTAAGCAAAAACTGTGCAGACAGGGGAGGTGTTTAGGATCCGTAAATAAGTCCGAGCACACCGAACAAGACACTTCTTCACGAAGATTGTAAAACAAAGTTGTAAGGTCCATGATGTCGTCAACAACAAGTGAGCTGTGACCCTTGAAGCAGTCAACACTGAACAATGAAGTCTTTTGATTGTCTACGTTTAGAGTTTCCCGGAATCTCAAAAGAGAATGAACCAATCAAAGAGCCTCGTTGTGAGAGGGTTGTTATTGTTTTCGTGGTTTATGATTCCCAGAAATTAAATCCCCCGGGTTAAGATCAGTGTGAACTGGATGATATCTCAAATTTAAACAGATACTCTCTTGGTAGGATTGAAAATAGTTGTAAGATCCAATAACAATTAGACTTACTTCTGATACATTATGACCTGAGTGGCAAATATGCACCATTCAATCAAGCCCTGTAGCTTTTTATCTTCTAAGGAACGAATCACGGAACGCTTTTGTTAGAGTCCCTGTCGCGCCAGCTTCAGCGCGTGAGTACCGTAAATGACAATCATTTTGAAACCTGAATAATACCAAAGTGAAATCTGTGAATCCTTTGTAAAGCACTATGAGAGCGTGAAACCACAGCTTTAAAAGATGCAATTTGAATTTTAATACAGCGCGTTGTCTAGAAATTTGTGAGTAGTAAGCATGATAAAGGGAACAGTAACCATATATCGATTTGTGAAAGATATTAACACTTAGATTCCCAAAAGTAACAAACATCAATTTTCTCCGAACAATATCAATGCACAATCAAGAGATAAGGTTGTGAGAATTAATGAAATAATCACCAAATGGCCAGGCTAATACTTTGATCATCTACCAAATTCTCTCAACGTATTCAATATGAAAATGTATAAAGACCAGTTTGGAGAATTTGTATGTGGATATTGGGGTTTAAAGAGTTAAAGAGGCCAACTCAAACGTTTCCAGGATCGTTGACGTTCACAAAAACCCAACAGAGACCGAATATTCTCGCTCTCTAATTAAGTACAGCTACATTATTCTTTGACAATAACTAACATTGTCCGATTCCGACTCTTACCCCCGACAGGGTGAGGGGAGTACTCACCAAACCAGAAAGTTTTCTTGTCTTCCTCACAGCCACAAAAATACTTTGTTTGCCCTTTTAGGTCCTTTTACGGACCGAACAGCTTTCCCTACCCTTTCATATACTACAACTAGTGAAATCCCTACCCTTTTGGGCTTAAGCCTACAAAAGGTACCCCCTTTCGGACGGAGCCTCCACGTATAGGCCATTATAGGGAGTACCCTCTACCCCTCTCCAGGACTCCTACGTCAGTGAAAAACAATCTTTACAATGTCATGAAAGCACGTACCATCTAGTGAAAATCCACAATAAATGGATCAGGCCTAGAACGTTTTCATTGCACTTCTCGTACCAAAGAAGAGTTCAACAATTTAGATTGCTTTCAACGTGCAACACTTAAGGAAAACTATGTATTAAATGAGATAATTAATCGCAGGACTCACTCAAAAGGAGCTAATCTTTTTTAAAAACACCTCAATCTGCCTCTCCTACTTCCAGACTGTTTTTCTTGAATTTTGATCTGAACTATTTTTTACATCAAACCACCGAGCCAATGCAGAAATACGGGAACGACTGTAAACGAAAAGAAAACTAGACTGCCTTAGGGAATAAATTGAAACATAAAGAGTTGTACAATTACTAGCTAGCGCTTGGAATGTAAGCGACTTGCATTATTGTTGGGCATTGTCAGGTTCCAACCATAGTAGAATGGATCACTTATATTTAATATGTCTCAAGTGGAATAATTAGACAAATAACTGCATATCACATAGGGTGACTTAAGGCGAAAAAAATTTATTTCCCGGCCTTTTTTCTATTACAGAGTGGCAACGCTCATCTATATTGTTATACGTTTCTACATAAGTTAAACCAATGTGTCAATTCATTTCAGGATGACCTAGTTAAAAGGCTTTAAAAGGTAGAAAACAGAAGTTACTAAAATGGGATCGCGAAAATTACATTTTCCCAACAGTGACTAAGATGGGGTCTATATTTGGCCACAGAGTAGACTTGGATTTGTGTTCGGCTCATTTTGCGAAGCCAAGCGTCATGGGAAGGATGTAAAGCGCGAGGCGCGAATGATTCGTGACATTTCACCCTTCCCGAGATGCCATGCGCAAAGCCCAAAGCGTAAGAACAGTGCTACGAGTAAGTACATCAAAATCCTTCTCTAAGGGCGATACTTGATATGTGAATGCGAGAAAACCCTGATTGTCTTGCTTACAAGAAAACAATTCATACACTGACCTAAACTTAACAAAACGTTTGATTCTAAGAAATTGAAAAATAGTGATTGTAATCACGTAATCCTACTACACTCAGAAATGAGAAAAAGACTAGTGGTTATGCTTGCAATTATTCTTAGGAAAACGGGTAAAATGTCATTCAAATATTTGAATTCGATTATTATTGTACTCAGATACCACAATTTGATCATTACTTAGAATAGCTACTGATAATGGATTATTAAATTCTCCTAATTTGCTGCCATTTGTACCGAATTTTCCTACAAACTTCCCATCTACATCAAAGACTTGTATTCTATGATTATCCTCATCACAAACCAACAGGTGCTTTGACTGAGTCTCTGACAGAAAACGTGGACAATTAAAATCCCCGTCCCCCTCCCCCTTCTTACCAAACTTGTACTGAAAATGACCCTCCCTGTTAAATACTTTGATACAATGTTCACCTCGATCTGACACTATGAAATATTCACCACACTGAACACAGTGGACAGGCAAACTAAATGAACCCTGCTCACCTATCTTCATTACAAACCTACCATCCGGGGTAAAGATCTTAATCAGTTTGTTCCCTGTATCAGTAACAATAACATTACCAGTACTATCTAAAGATAAACCTCAAGGGAAGGTGAGCTGACTATCAAGGCTTCCTTTTCCGCCAAATGAACCCAGGTGCCTCCCCTCCCAACTAAGAATCTGTATTCTGTGGTTGTTAGTGTCTGCCACAAAAATATTCCTGTCCTTATTAATGGCTATTCCAATAGGGTATTTGAACTCTCCAGCATTTTTACCTTCGCGGCCAAAAAATCTTAAGAAAGTACCATTACGGTCAAACACTTGAACCCGATGGTTATTGCTGTCAGCTAATACTATTTCGTCCCCATCACTCACAGCCACCCCATAAGGATACATAAACATTCCATCACCCGAGCCTTTCTCTCCAAAAGATAAAACAGGTTTGACATGAAATGGTTTTACAATCACTGCAAAAGGGCTACCATGAATATGTACCCCGTTTACCTTAACTAATAACTTTATTGTCCCTTGAACTCTAGGAAAACAACCGATGTTGTAGATTCCATCCTTGTTATCATCTATTCTTACTTCCGTCACGCATTCTCGTTCTTGCTCGTCCCTCATCTCTACCGTTACACGGTCCCCTTCATCGTACCACTGCTTTCTCTCTGCGTTTCTTGTGATCAAATTGAATTGAGCTTTACGTCCAACAGTTCCTTCTTTCAGTCCTTCACCTTCAGCCAGTGATTCTTTTGCTTTTGTTCGGTAACCTTCTTCCAAGAATCCAATTTCTTCGCCGTTGACGACATCAAGCATCTTCTGATTTTCTACGAAAACAAACGCTTGCAGACTGCTGCGGTCATGAACAATAGGCTCTGTCTCATCCACGCCCTGAAAGATTGTTTGCAGTGTTTTTTTAAGCTGAACAACTTCCGCGGTGGTGCTTCGTTTTAGAAGTTTATCAGCTTCTTCCAATGACGATTCAATAACATTTATCTGTTGCTGAATCTCACCTCTTTTTGCTGTTAATCTTTCAAGTGACTTCTTCGTTTGGTTTTCTATCGCGTCAATAACATTTTGCATTTTTGCTTGAATTGTTTTTATCAACCCATCAGCAAACCTTTGGACATCGCCCTTCAAATTTTCGTTCTGTTGAATCACTTTAGCATAATCTTCATCTAGCTTAGCGACAACGTTCATCTTTTCGTCTAAGTTGTGTCGTTGTGTTTCGATAACAGTTTTTATCTCGAGTCTTTGATTCACAGCTTCTTCCTCGATCAGCGTTAACTTATGACCATTGTGATCTAGCATGACGCAAGTTTGGCAAACTGCCATCTCACATTCCTTGCAAAATAATTTCAGCTCCTCTTTCTGGTTTCCTTGTCTTGAACAAAATACTGGTCGCTTTAACACATCTTCATAGTCCCTGTCTTGGAACTCTTTTACGGCCAAAACGCGGTGTTCCTTCTTGTCTCGCATGATGTTATGACCGAGTAAACATTCTTCGCAATAAAATATGCAACACTGGAAACAATACGAAGCTTCTGAGCTCTTCTTGTCGCAGTTTCCGCATGTCACCTGAGTGTTTTTGCATTCTTTGATGGCAAGGACATCGATTAAGCGGTTCAAATAAAAGCTTGTTGGAAGATCTTTAAGATCACCCCTTGCGGGAACTTGGCTGAGGGTTTGGCACTTCGGACATCTAATGACGTCTCCGCCCCCACACGTTTCGTACCATCTTTTCAAACACTTTAAGCAGAAACTGTGCAGGCAGGAGAGATGTTTAGGATCCGTAAATAAGTCCGAACACACCGAACAAGACACTTCTTCGCGAAGATTGTGAAACAAAGTTGTAAGGTCCATGATGTCGTCAACAACAAGTGAGCTGTGACCCTTGAAGCAGTTCACACTGAACAATGAAGTCTTGTTTAGCTTTTCTCGGAATGTCAAAGGAGAATTAACCAATCAAAGAGCCTTGTTGTGAGAGGCTTGTTATTATTTTTGTGGTTTATGATTCCCAGAAATCTGGAGCTAAGTCGTTTATACACTTTAGTTAGGAAGCTGTTAATGGAAAGCCGCTGCATGCATTGAACCAGTATACATATATTTCAATTCAATTTCCAACTTGTAGCTGTTTAGATCGACTATCTTTTTCTAAATTACTTAAAAAAAAAACATTCTAATGACCTTCGGGGCATTCCACACTCAACAGTCTTTTGTGTTTCTATCTTAAGCCTTTGAGCCATCGGAAAGAAAGGCCCCCTGCTTCCAACCAATCATAGAAGGCTTTTGCCAGAGTGCCTGTCGCGCCAGCTTCAGCGCGTGAGTAACGTATATGACATTGACCATCATTTTGAGACACGACAACAAAATAGTGATTAATCAATGACAAAATGACGCCTTTTTAACTTGTCTTTTCTAAATCACTTTAAGGAAAAAAACCTCAGCTTAAAAAGATGCAAATCGAATTAATTGCGCGGCGTACCGTGAGCATTGCAGCATTACACAAGTATACGATCAAGAGCCACGATGTATCTACCTACGAAATACTTACTTCTTGAAGTGTTACGACTCCTGGGGGCGAGAGAGTCCCATAAAAAAAGAGACGGGAATGTTCTCCGTCTTGATCTAGAGGTGCAAACAGCAGATTTTGGTCTCTCAGGTTGTTCAGGACGGAAAGTCAACAGTTTTACCTATCCAGGTATAATCATCATCATTGTCATCGCCATCATCATCGTCGTCGTCGTTACCGTCGTCGTCATCATCATATAACATCATCATTATCATCATCAACGTCATCATCATCATCATCATCATCATCATAGTCACCATCATCATCAGTGTCATCAACTATGGGTCAATGACTAACGTGGAAATCTGTCCCTGTTCATTATTGTCAGTAACAAACTGAATGATTGAATTTTCACTTGACGGAAACGCGATATGTATATCGCAAGTCAGTTAATGTCCTTAATCCCTTTTTTTAGGTTCATCTGCTTATGAGGGCGTTTTAATTTATAGGTTACTTAACATAGTTTATTGAAATAGACATGATAAGTTGATCTGACTATTGAGTCTGTGGACCAAATCCTACGGCGTAACCGTTCAGATGGAACTCTTCTCCAGGACGGTGATACTGTTCTATATTTAGGTTTGTTTACAAAAGAAGAGAAGATCTAAGACTTTTGTTAATTCCTCCGAAACGACAACGAATCAAGGAATACTTGCTGTTTTTAATTTCATTATTATGACAGCCCCCCATCTCACTCCTATTCCCCACACCTCCTTCTTTCTCCCTAAGTATAGTGAAACAGTGCCAGTACACAAAGAAGAAGAAGAAACACAAACGAAACAAAAGATGGACGAGAGAAAAGAAGAAACATAAGTGAAACAATGTGAAACAGAAGGTTTCAAAACCTTTCTTGGAACATTGGACGTGGGTGTTCCGCTAAAGCCTTGGCATTACCACCCCCTCAAATAAGCTCAAGTCTGCAACAATTTTTGCAGGACTACTAGGAGAACCAGCAGCGAGGGAAAGCCGGACGTTGGTGTAGATCAGGATCAGCAATAAAGAATAACACTTAAAATTGAGAGCAAGGCTGATCGGAGAGCTAAAGATTGGTAATTTATTTGCCCAATATTTCGACTAGTCTTTCGGGCTGGTCTTCATCAGGGGCTAGATGAAGACTAGTTTTGTCGAGTTGAGATATTGGGGAAACAGATTTGCAAATTACCAATCCTAAGCTGTCCAATCGGCCTTGTCCTCAATTTAAAGTGTCAAATCTGTTGCCTTAGTTAACTTGTACACCTCACGCACTTCGGCCCGGAAGTGAAAAAATGTCTGCATTTCAGCAGGTTTTGTCCACATGTCTAAAAACACCTGTTATATATATTCTCGTGCATTTAAAATAGCCTGATGGGAATGATTAGTAAGATATATCTATCGGTTCCAATACCCCCCTCTTGGACAAAAAATTCTAAATCAGAACCCGATCACAAACCAGGAAGGTTAAACTAAAATTGGCCCGTATACATACCAGTTTATAATGATGAAGTAATTCTTAAGTTTCAAGGCACTTTTCCTGTAAATGATCAATTAAATGAATTTGGCTGCTACAGGTCTTACAGTGTCACAGATTATAGCTATAGCTACTTCAAAGTAACCAAAACATATTAGGGCCATTTATACGAGGAAAAATAAGACGCGTCTTACATAAGACGCATCTTAAATAAGACACGAACTGTACCATTTATACGAGCATGTCTTATCTAAGACGAAAACAGCTCGTATAAATGGTTCGCGTCCTATTCTGTTCTTGACTCGTTTTCATGTGAATGTTGCCCGTAGCAACGGCAATCCAACGCGGCGCGCCAAAAATTAACGCATGCATACTATGCGTTCGCGTCCTATGTAAGACGCGAAGGTCATTTATACGAAGTTTTTCTCGTCTTAGCTTAGACGCGTCTTATCTATGAACAGGTCTTAAGGGCTGTTCTAAAATAAGACGCGTCTTAGCTAAGCCGCATCTTATTATAGACGAAATGTGCCGTTTATACGGAAAGTTCGCGTCTTATTTAAGACGCGTCCTAGGTAAGACGCGTCTTATTTTTCATCGTATAAATGGCCCTACTGTGCCTTTCCTTTTCCCAGTATTTTGTTTTCAGTTATTTCCAAACGTTTTTCTGCTATAAACCGACCCGCCGAACCAAGAGCAATAAAACTGGAGTGACTTGAAAGAGTTTTCAAAATGGTTTGCCTTAAAGAACAAACAGTGAAGCATATAGAATAGCAAACAGCTTTCTTCTGTTAAACGTTTTTGTCATATTCTATAAATATTGATAAAAAGTTTCACCGACTTTTGAAAAAATTAAACCAAAAATTCAGCTTGTTGGAGCAAATTAAGAAGTCCGTTACTCAGTTTCAGCAATGTTTATATGCTCTCGTATTCATATACCCTGCCAGAAGTGTATCAACGACAATAACAATGACAATAACAATAAAACCAAGCTTTAATTGCATGACTATAACAGAGTATTGCGGTATGGTATGGCAAAAGCTGTTATAACTAATTCTTGATTCGTAAATTAATCAAAATAACTTAACAAATGCATACAATAAAAAAAATCATTACTCATTTCCAACTATTCTTACAGAAGAGTAATTATATATTCCGGAGACCTAACCAACCTAACAAGTTGGCTTGTGTAGAATTTGGATTTTGCAGGGCAAAGCGTCATGGGAAGGAGGCAAATCGCGAGCTGTGAATGATTGGTGAGAGAACAGCTGCATCCTCCCCGAGATACCATGGGCAAAGCATGGGACGCCTAAAAACGAGTAGGCACATCGCACTCCGTCGCAAAGAGCGATATATACTTGAATGCGAGAAAACCTTGATTACGAGAAAACAATTCATACACTGATCTTAACCAAACAAAACGTTTGAATCTAAGAAAGGCAAAAATAATGTTCGAAATGATCTAATCCTACTACACTTAAACATTAGAATAAGACTTCTAGTGATGCTTGCCATTTTTCTTACGAAAACTGGTCAGATGTCATTCAAATACTGCAAATATTCGGATCTGATTGTCTTTGTAATCAGACACCACAATTTGGTCATTACTTAGAACAGCTACGGAGAATGCATCATTAAATTCTCCTAATTTGCCGCCATTTGTTCCAAATTTTCCAACAAACTTTCCATCTAGTTCGAAGACTTGTATTCTATGATTCTCCCTATCACAAACCAACAGGTGCTTTGACTGAGTCACTGACAAAAACCATGGACAATTAAACTCCCCGTCTCCTAACCCTTTCTTACCCATCTTGTATTGAAAATGTCCTTCCCTGTTAAATACTTTTATACAGTGTTCACTTGAGTCTGACACTATGAAATATTCACCACACTGAACACAGTGAACAGGATAAGTCAAAGAACCCTGCCCACCTATTTTCATTACAAACCTACCATCCGGGGTAAAGATCTTAATCAGTTTGTTACCTGTATCAGCAACAATAACATTACCAGCACTATCTAAAGATAAACCCCGGGGCTTGTCGAGTTGACTATCAAGGCTTCCTGGGCCACCGAATGAACCGAGGCGCCTCCCCTCCCAACTAAAGATCTGTACTCGATGGGTACCATACTCTGCTACAAAAATATTTCTGTCCTTATCAGTGGCTATTCCTGTAGGAATCTTCAACTCTCCAGCATTGTTACCTTCGTGGCCAAAAGATCTTAAGAAAGTACCATTACTGTCAAACACTTGAACCCGATGGTTCTTACTGTCAGCTACCATTATCTCGTCCCTGTCAGTCACAGCCACCCCAAAAGGATTCTCAAACATTCCATCACCAGAGCCTTCCTTTCCAAAAGATAAAACAGGTTTGACATGAAATGGTTTTATTGTCACAGTAAAAGGGCTACCACGAATATCCTCCCCGTTTACACTAACAAATATTTTCAATGTCTCCTGTTTTCTGGGATAATACATGACGTTGTATCTCCCATCTTTGTTATCATCTATTCGCACGTCCGTCACGCATTCTTGTTCTTGCTCGTCCTTGATCTCCACCGTTACACGATCCTGTTTATCATACCCCTGCTTTCTCTGTGCGTTTCTTGTGATCAAATTGAATTGAGTTTTACGTCCAACAGCTCCTTCTTTCAGTCCTTCACCTTCAGCCAAAGATAAACGTGCTTTTGTTCTATTTCCGGGTCCTTCCAAGAATCCAATATTTTCGCTCTTGACAATATCATGCATCTTTTGATTTTCTACAAAAACAAAAGTTTGCAGACTTCTAGAATCATGAACAATAGGCTCTGTCTCATTCACTCCCTCAAAGATTGTTTGCAGTGTTTTTTTTTAAGCTGAACAACTTCCGCGGTGGGGCTTCCTTTTAAAAGTTTAGCAGCTTCCTCCAGTGATGATTCAATAATATTTATCTGACGCTGAATCTCACCTCTTATTGCTGTTAAATTTTCAAGGGACTTCTTCGTATGGTTTTCGACCGCGTCAATAATATTTTGCGTTTTTGCTTGAATTGTTTTTATCAATCCATTAGCAAATTTTTGGACATTACCCTTCAAATTTTCGCTTTGTTGAATCACTTTAGTGTAATCTTCATCTAGCTGAGCGACAACGTTCATTTTTTCGTCTAAGCTATGTCGTTGTGTTTCGATAACAGTTTTAATCTCGGGTCTTTGATTCTCAGCTTCTTCCTCGATCAGCGTCAACTTATGACCATTGTGATCTAGCATAACACAAGTTTGGCAAACTGCTGTTTCACATTCCTTGCAAAATAATTTCAGTTTCTTCTGTTGGTGTCCTTGTCTTGAACAAAATACTGGTCGCTTCAATACATCCTCGTAGTCTTTGTCTTGAAACTCTTTGAGGCTCAAAACGCGGTGTTCCTTTTTGTTCCGCATGATGTTATGACCGATTAAAGATTCTTCGCAATAAAATGTGCAACACCGGAAACAATACGATGCTACCGAACTCTTCTTGTCGCAGTTGCCGCATTTCACTTGAGTATTTGAACATTCTTTGATGGCAAGAACGTCGATTAAGCCGTTAAGATAAAAGCTGGTCGGAAGATCTTTTAAATCACCGCTTGCGAGAACTTGACTGAAGGTTTGGCACTTCGGACATCTAATGGCGTCTCCGCCGCCGCAAGTTTCGTACCATCCTTTCAAACACTTTAAGCAGAAACTGTGCAGACAGGAGAGGTGTTTAGGATCCGTAAATGAGTCCGAGCACACCGAACAAGGCACTTCTTCACGAAGATTGTAAAACAAAGTTGTAAGGTCCATGATGTCGTCAACAACAAGTGAGCTGTGACCTTTGAAGCAGTCAACACTGGACAATGAAGTCTTGTGATCGTCTATGTTTAGCAGTGTCGCGGAATCTTAAAAGCGAGTGAACCAATCAAAGAGCCTTGTTGTGAGAGGTTTGTTATTGTTTTCGTGATTTATGATTCCCAGAAATGAAATCCCCCGGGTGAAGATCAGTGCGATAAAATTCGTCAACAAGATGATATTTCCAATTTAAGCAGAAACTCTCTTGGTAGGATTGAAAACAATTGCAAGATCCAGTAACAATTAGACTTACTTCAGATGCATTGTGACCTGAGTGGCAAATATGTACCATTCAATCAAGCCTTGTAGCTTTTTATCTTTTAAGCAGCCAATCACGGAACGCTGTTGTCAGAGTCCCGCGCTTTTGCACCAGCTTCCGCGCGTGAGTACCGTAAATGATAATCATTTTGAAACCTGGATACAAAACAATGGTTAATAACAAAGTGAAATCTGTGAAGCCTTTCTAAAGCTCGATCGGAGCTTGAAACCACAGCTTTAAAAGTTGCAATTTGAATTTTAATACTGCGCGTTGTCTAGAAATTTGTGAGTAGTAAGCATGATAAAGGGAACGGTAACGATACATCGATTTGTGAAAGACATTAACCCCTTGATTCCCAAAAGTAACAAACATCAATTTTCTCCGAACAATATTAATACACAATTAAGAGATAAGGTTGTGAGAATTAATGAAAAAATCACCAAAGGGACAGGCTAATACTTTGATCTTCTACCAAATTCTGTCAACGTATTCAATATGAAAATGTATAGAGACCAGTCTGGAGAATTTGTGTGTCGAAATTGGGCGTAAAGGGTTAAAGAGGCCAGCTCGAACGTTTCCAGGAACGTTGACGTTCACAAAAAACCAACAGAGACCGAATATTGTCGCTCTCTAATTAATTACAGCTGCTTTATTCTTTGACAATAACTAACATTGTCCGATTCCGACTCTTACCTCCGACAGGGTGAGAGAAGTACTCACCAAACCAGGAAGTTTTCTTGTCTCCCCCACAGCCACAAAATCCTTCTGTCAGCCCTTTTAGGTCCTTTTACGGACTGAACAGCTTTCCCTACCCTTTCATATACTACAACTAGTGAAATCCCTACCCTTTTGGACTTAAGCCTACAAAAGGTACCCCCTTTCGGGCGGGGTCTCCACGTATGGGCCATTATAGGGAGGAACCTCTCCCCCTCTCCAGGACTCTTACGGCAGTGAAAAACAACTTTTATAATGTCATGAAAGCACTTACGATCTAGTGAATATCCGCAAATAATGGATCAGGCCTGGAACGTTTTTATTGCACTTCTCGAACCAAGAACGAAGACTTCAACAATTTAGGTTGGTTTCAACGTGCAACACTTAAGGCTGAAACGACTTATTAAATGAGATATTTAATCGCAGGACGCACTCAAAAGCAACCAATGTTTTTTTAAAAAAACACCTCAGTCTGCCTTTCCTACTTCCAGTCTGTTTTTCATAAATTTTGATCTCAACTATTTTTTTACATCAACCCACCGAGTCAAAGTAGAAATACGAAAAAGACTGCAAACGAAAAGAAAAGTAGATTGCCTTAAAGAATAAATTGAAACATATAGGGATGTGCAATTACTAGCTAGCGCTTGGAATGTAAGCGACTTGCATTATTGTTGGGCATTATCAGGTTCCAAGCACAGTAGAATGGATTACTTATATTTAATATCTCTGAATTGGTGTGATTAAACAAATAACTGCATATCACACAGGGTTACTTAAGAGGTAAAAAATTTATTTCAAGACCTTTTTTCTATTACACAGTGGCTGCGCTTATCTATATTGTTATACGTTTCTACATAAGTTAACCCTTTAACCCTAATATCAAAATTCAAATTCTCATTTGTTGTCCCTATATGTTTTCAATAGAAGCAGTGGTCAGAATTTGTTGAAGTATCAATTAGATTCATCTTGTGTGATCAAGCCCTCAATTCTCATGACCACTGTGTTTTATAAAGCAGTGATATTTCAAGGAGAAATTTGACGCTGATCACTCTTAGGACTTAAAGGGTTAAACCAATGTGTCAATTCATTTCAGGATGACCTACTGTAGTTAAAAGGCTTTAAAAAGTAGATGCCTCAACAGAAAGTTACTAAAATGGGATCGCGAAAATTAAATTTTCCCAAAAGTGACTAAGATGGGGTCTATATTTGGCCACAGAATATACTTGGATTTGTGTTGGGCTTATTTTGCAGGGCCAAGCGTCATGGGAAGGATGCAAAACGCGAGGCGCGAATGATTGGTGACAGAGCACCCTTCCCGAGATACCATGCGCAAAGCGCAAAGCGTAAGAACAGTGCTTGCGACGCCTGAAAACGAGTGGGTACATCGTAATCCTTCGCTAAGGGCGATACTTGATATGTGAATGCGAGAAAGCCCTGATTGTCTTCCTTACAAGAAAACAATTCATACACTGACCTAAACTTAACAAAACGTTTTTTTCTAAGAAATTGAAAAATAGTGATTGTAATGACGCAATCCTACTACACTTAGAATTTAGAAGAAGACTACTGGTGATGCTTGTCATAATTGTTAGGAAAACTGGTCAGATGTCATTCAAATATTTGAATTCGATTATTGTTGCGATCAGACACCACAATTTGGTCATTACTTAGAACAGCTACTGAGAATGGATAATTAAATTCTCCTAAGTTGCTGCCTTTTGTACCGAATTTTCCCACAAACTTCCCATCTAGTTCAAAGACTTGTATTCTATGATTATTCTGATCACAAACCAACAGGTTCTTTGACTGAGTCACTGACAGAAAACGTGGATAATTAAACTCCCCGTTTCCTTCCCCCGTCTTACCAAACTTGTACTGAAAATGCCCCTCCCTGTTAAATACTTTGATACAGTGTTCATTAGAGTCTGACACTACGAAATATTCACCCCACTGAACACAGTGAACAGGATAACTCAAAGAACCCTGTCCACCTATCTTCATTATAAACTTTCCATCCGGGGTAAAGATCTTAATCAGTTTGTTACCTGTATCAGCAACAATAACATTACCAGTACTATCTAAGGATAAACCCCAAGGGTAAGAGAGCTGACTATCAAGGCATCCTTTGCCGCCAAATGAACCCAGGTGCCTCCCCTCCCAACTTAAGATCTGTACTCTGTGGTTATAACACTCTGACACGAGAATATTTCTATCCTTATTAATGGCAATTCCTGTAGGATTCTTAAACTCTCCAGCATTTTCTCCTTTATGACCAAAGGATCTTAAGAAAGTACCATCACTGTCAAACACTTGAACCCGATGGTTGCAAATGTCAGCTACCAGTATTTCGTCCCTATCACTCACTGCCACCCCCATAGGATAATTAAACATTCCTTCACCCGAGCCTTTCTTTCCAAAAGATAAAACAGGTTTGACTTGAAACGGTTTTACAGTCACAGCAAAAGGACTACAAGAAACATGTTCCCCGTTTACCTTAACTAATAACTTTATTGTCCTTTGAACGCTGGGAAAATAACTGATGTTGTAGATTCCATCCTTGTTATCATCTATTCTTAATTCCGTCACGCATTCTTGTTCATGCTCGTCCTTGATCTCTACCGTCACACGGTCCTCTTCATTATACACCTTTTTTCTCACTGCGTTTCTTGTGATCAAATTGAATTGAGCTTTACGCCCAACAGTTCCTTCTTTCTTTCCTTCACCTTCAGCCAGAGATTTGCTTGCTTTTGTTCGGTAACCTTCTTCCAAGAATCCAATTTCTTCGCCGTTGACGACATCAAGCATCTTCTGATTTTCTACGAAAACAAACGCTTTCAGACTGCTGCGGTCATGAACAAAAGGCTCTGTCTCATCCACTCTCTGAAAGATTGTTTGCAGTGTTTTTTTAAGCTGAACGACTTCCGTGGTGGTGCTTCGTTTTAGAAGTTTATCAGCTTGCTCCAGCGATGATTTAATAACATTTATCTGTTGCTGAATCTCACCTCTTTTTGCTGTTAATCTTTCAAGTGACTTCTTCGTTTGGTTTTCCATCGCGTCCATAACATTTTGCATTTTTGCTTTAATTGTTTTTATCAACCCGTAAACAAACCTTTGGACATCGCCCTTCAAAGTTTCGTTCCGTTGAATCACTTTAGCATAATCTTCATCTAGCTTAGTGACAACGTTCAGTTTTTCGTTTAAGTTGTGTCGTTGTGTTTCGATAGCAGTTTTTATCTCGAGTCTTTGATTCGCAGCTTCTTCCTCGATCAGCGTTAACTTATGAACTTTGTGATCTAGCAAGACGCAAGTTTGGCAAACTGCCGTCTCACATTCCTTGCAAAATAATTTCAGCTCCTCTTTCTGGTGTCCTTGTCTTGAACAAAATACTGGTCGCTTTAACACATCTTGATAGTCCCTGTCTTGGAACTCTTTTACGGCCAAAACGCGGTGTTCCTTCTTGTCTCGCATGATGTTATGACCGAGTAAGCATTCTTCGCAATAAAATATGCAACACTGGAAACAATACGAAGCTTCTGAGCTCTTCTTGTCGCAGTTTCCGCATGTCACCTGAGTGTTTTTGCATTCTTTAATGGCAAGAACATCTATCAAGCCGTTTAAATAAAAGCTGGTTGGAAGATCTTTAAGATCACAGCTTGCGGGAACTTGGCAGAAGGTTTGGCACTTCGGACATCTAATGGCGTCTCCGCCCCCGCACGTTTGGTACCATCCTTTCAAACACTTTAAGCAGAAACTGTGCAGACAGGAGAGTTGTTTAGGATCTGTGAATAAGTCCGAACACACTGAGCATGACACTTCTTCACGAAGATTGTGAAACAAAGTTGTTAGGTCCATGATGTCGTCAACCACAAGTGAGCCGTGACCCTTGAAGCAGTTCACACTGAACAATGAAGTCTTGTGATTGTCTTTATGTTTAGCGTTTCGGAATCTCAAAAGAGAATGAACTAATCAAAGAGCCTCGTTGTGAGAGGGTTGTTATTGTTTTCGTGGTTTATGACTCCCAGAAATGAAATCCCCCGAGTTAAGATCACTGCGATAAAATGCGTGAACTGGATGATATTTCAAATTTAAACAGAAAGTCTCTTGGTAGGATTGAAAATAATTGTAAGATCCAGTCACAATTAGACTTACTTCAGATACATTATGAGCTGAGTAGCAAATATGCACCATTCAATCAAGCCTTGCAGCTTTTTATCTTCTAAGGAACCAATCACGGAACGCTGTTGTTAGAGGCCCACCCTGTCGGGCCAGCTTCAGCGCGTGAGTACCGTAAATGACAATCATTTTAAAACCTGAATACAAAACAATGGTTAATAACAAAGTGAAATCTGTGAAGCCCTTGTAAAGCACGATCAGAGCGTGAAACCACAGCTTTAAAAGATGAAATTTGAATGTTAATACTGCGCGTTGTCTAGTAATTTGTGAGTAGTAAGCATGATAAAGGGAACAGAAACAATATATCGATTTGTGAAAGACATTAACCCTTTCAGTCCCAAAAGTTACAAACATCAAATTTCTCTAAACAATATCAGTACACAATCATGAGATAAGGTTGTGAGAATTAATGAAAAAAGCACCAAAGGGACAGGCTAATGCTTTCGTCTTCTTCCAAATTCTCTCAACGTATTCAATATGAAAATGTATAGAGACCAGTTTGGAGGATTTGTATGTGGATATTGGGGTTTAAGGTGGCTCGATACAGTTTTTCAAGGCCAATACCTCCCAAGTTTGAGCATAAACTACGTCGCCATAAACAAAGTTTTGGAAAAATTGCCCCCACAGTTGTATTAGATAAAGATGAAAATCTTTTATGATCAGGGTTGCAATAACATCAGAGTTGTCATAGCAACGAAATGACGCTATTACCTATTTAAACTTACAGAAGTAATTCTCGGCACTGAGAACTGTTCTTCCAAAATTATTCACGGGAGCTTTTTCCTCCAATAGCCGCCTCGATGTTCGTGAAGTTTAAGCGAAATCTGTAAGAGCGTTATCGAGATATTTTGGGATCAAGATTTTGTGGTTAGGCATACGGTAAAAAATAGATAATCTTGATGTTCGGCTGTTATCTGTAGAAAATGAAGCGCTTTTGACATACAATTTCACCTGAGAGTAGTTTCAATCTTTTTAAAAACGTGTGTGAAAGACCGTGGAGATAGCTCCAGCCGATTGCTAGAAAGAAGGATTTGATTAGTATGTATCGAGGCGCTTTTGTTAGCGGTTTTTGAACATTTTGGTCTACTTTAACAAATTAGCGAATAATTTTTAAACCACTCGATAGATTTTTTTAAAAAAAATAAGATTCTTGAGATTAACCTTCCTTTTATATGACCCTTTAGTTTCAAGATTATTGATATATTGTAAGGTAGTAAAATAAGGGCTACAATTCGCCAATATTTTGGCAGAAATTTTGTGTTTACAAATGTGAGCCTCTCATTATTCAGGGTATTGTCTCCAAGTTTCATATTTTCGCGCATAACAATAGCTAGCATTTTTGCATATGTCAAATGCATTGTTAGTTACTGTTGTTCACGTGAAAATGAAACTTGGAGACAATGCCTTGAATAATGAGTGGCTTTCACTTGTAATAACGAAATTCCGATAAAAAAGTAACGAGTTGTAGCCCTTATTTTACTGCCTTACAATGTATCAATAATCTTGAAACTAAAAGGTCATAGTGGAGCGGTTTAAAAATTATTCGCTAATTTTTTAAAAAAGACCAAAATGCTTACAAAACTGCTAACAAGAGCGCTTCGATACATACTAATAAAACCCTTCTCTATAGCAATCGGCTGGAGCTATCTCCATGATCCTTCACACACGTTTTTAAAAATATTGAAACTACTATCAGGTGAAATTGCATGTCAAAAGAGCTTCATTTTCTACAGATAACGGCCAAACAACAATATTGTCCATTTTTTACTGTGTTTCTAATCATGAAAACTTCATCCCAAAATATCTCGATAACGCTCTTACAGATTTCGCTTAAACTTCACGAACATCGAGGCTGCTATTGGAGGAAAAAGCTCTCGTGAACGATTTTGAAAGAACAGTTCTCAGTGCCGAGATACACTGCTGCAAGTAAAATAGGTAATAGCGTCATTTCGTTGCTACGACAACTCCGATGCCGTTGCAAACCTGATCATAACAAATTTTCATCTTTATCTAATACAACTGTGGTGGCAATTTTTCCAAAACTTTGTTTATGGCGACGTAGTTTATGCTCAAACTTGGGAGGTATTGGCCCTGAAAAACTGTATCGAGCCACCTTAAAGGGTTAAGGAGGCCAGCTCAAACGTTTCCAGGAACGTTGACGTTCACAAAAAACCAACAGAGACAGAAAATTCTCGCTCTCTAATTAAGTACAGCTACTTTATTCTTTCACAATAACTAACATTCTCCGATTGCTACTCTAACCTCCGACAGGAGGAGGGGAGCACTCACTAAACCAGGAAGTTTTCTTGTCTCCCCCACAGCCGCAAAATCCTTCTGTCAACCCTTTTAGGTCCTTTTACGGACCGAACAGCTTTCCCTACCCTTTCATATACTACAACTAGTGAAATCCCCACCCTTTTGGACTTAAGTCTACAAAAGGTACCCCCTTTCGGGCGGAGCCTCCACGTATAGGCCGTTAAAGGGAGTACCCTCTCCCCCTCTCTAGGACTCCTACGTCAGTGAAAAACAACCTTTACAATGTCACGAAAGCACTTACCATCTTGTGAAAATCCGCAAAAAATGGATCAGGCCTAGAGCGCTTTCATTGCACTTCTCGTACCAAAGAAGAGTTCAACAATTTAGATTGCTTTCAACGTGCAACGCTTAAGGAAAACGATGTATTAAATGAGATAATTAATCGCAGGACGCACTCAAAAGGAGCTAATCTTTTTTAAAAACACCTCAGTCTACCTTTCCTACTTCCAGTCTGTTTTTCATGAATTTTGATCTCAACTATTTTTTTTACATCAACCTACCGAGCCAAAGCAGAAATACGGGAACGACTGCAAACGAAAAGAAAAATAGATTGCCTTAAAGAATAAATTGAAACATAAAGAGTTGTACAATTACTAGCTAGCGCTTGGAAAGTAAGCGATTTGCATTATTGTTGGGCATTGTCAGGTTCCAAGCATGGTAGAATGGATTACTTATATTTAATATCTCTGAAGTGGAATGATTAGACAAATAACTGCATATCACATAGAGTTACTTAAGAGGTAAAATATTTATTTCCCGACCTTTTTTCTATTACAGAGTGGCTACGCTTATCTATATTGTTATACGTTTCTACATAAGTTAACCCTTTAGACCCTAATATCAAAATTCAAATTCTCATTTGTTGTCCCTATATGTTTTCAATAGAAGCAGTGGGCAGAATTTGTTGAAGTATCAATTAGATTCATCTTGTGTGGTCAGGTCCTCAATTCTCATAACCACTGCGTTTTATAAAGCAGTGATATTACAAGGAGAAATTTGACGCTGATCACTCTTAGGGCTTAAAGGGTTAAACCAATGTGTCAATTCATTTCAGGTTGACCTACTGTAGTTAAAAGGCTTTAAAAGGTAGATGCCTAAACAGAAAGTTACCTAAATGGGATAGTGAAAATAAAATTTTCCCAACAATGACAAAGATGGGGTCTATATTTGGTTACAGAATATACTTGAATTCGTGTTCGGCTCATTTTGCGGAGCCAAGCGTCATGGGAAGGATGCAAAACGCAAGGCGTGGAGTGATTGGTGACAGAGCTTCCTTCCCGAGATACCATGCGCAAAGCGCAAAGCGTAAGGACAGTGCTTGGGACACGTGAAAACGAGTAAGTACATCGTAATCCTTCGCTAAGGGCGATAATTGATATGCGAATGCGAGAAAACCCTGATTGTCTTGCTTACAAGAAAACAATTCATAAACTGACCTAAACTTAAAGTGCCCATCACCGAAAATTTTATATTTTCTTATCTGAAACTATACCTTATTAAAATAACTTCTGGAAAAAATTTTGCCATTTCAACAAAACGCGATTTTTTAACCAATTTTTGAAGTCCACATTTTTGCGGTACACCCGCGCCGCTGATCACGCAAACTAGCAGACTCATACATGACGTCATGTGACGTAAATTAAGGAACTCGCATTACCTTTCCTTCACCAGCTGTACACAAAAAAGATCAATTACAAGTAAGGATTGAATCACAATGTCTTCGCAAGAAGAAAGTTTTTCTGAAACAGAAAAACCTACCAGAACTTTTAATGTTTTCCTGTCGATAAAGTCACGTGTTCCTTAAAGTACGTCATACCCCGAAAGAAGACTAAGTCGAATGGTGTGCCAAAATGGCGGCAAATTTGAACGTTTTTAAAAAATTATAAAAAAATCGTCTTTGGTTCAAATCGCAAAATTTTTTCGCAGAAGTTATGTTAATAAGTTGTAGTTTCAGATAGGAAAATAAAACATTTTAAGTGATAGGCACCTTAACAAAACGTTTGATTCTAAGAAATTGAAAAATAACGATTGTAATGTCGTAATCCTACTACACTTAGAAATAAGAACAAGACTACTGGTGATGCTTGTCATAATTCTTGAGAAAACTGGTAAGATGTCATTCAAATATTTCAATTCGATTATGTTTGCGATCAGACACCACAATTTGGTCATTACTTAGAACAGCTACTGAGAATGGATTATTAAATTCTCCTAATTTGCTGCCATTTTTACCGAATTTTCCAACAAACTTCCCATCCAGTTCAAAGACTTGTATTCTATGATTACCTTGATCACAAACCAACAGGTGCTTTGACTGAGTCACTGACAGAAAACGTGGATCATTTAACTCCCCGTCCCCTTTCCCATGCTTACCAAACTTGTACTGAAAATGTCCCTCCCTGTTAAATACTTTGATACAATGTTCACCTAAGTCTGACACTATAAAATATTCACCACACTGAACACAGTGAACAGGAAAACTAAAAGCACCCTGCCCACCTATCTTCATTACAAACTTTCCATCCAAGGTAAAGATCTTAATCAGTTGGTTACCTGTATCAGCAACAATAATA